AAAGAGGAGAAGCCAATGCTCGAGCATGATAATATATGATTAGTGAGCTGAGATATAACTCACATGCATTCATTTCCTCAGCTGTACTCATCCATCACAGGGACACATCCAGACAGGATGGTTTATAAGGACTCACAGTCACACACTAAGGCATGGGTGGGCAATCTTATCCGCAAAGGGCCGGTGTGTATGCAGGTTTTTGGGATAACCTGTAGGTCAGCTGTTCAAACCCAGGTGTGAGGACTCTTCAGCCGATCAGTCCTCTAATTAGCGACCTAATTAGGGAGTTGCAGCGAAAACCCGCATACACAGCGGCCCATTCTGGATAAGATTGCCCACCCCTGCACTAAGGGCTATTTAGAGCCAGCAGATAACCTAAGCAGCATGTGAACTTCACAGTCAAGAACCTGGAAGTATGAGGGCACAGGGCTCCACAACACCCTCTAAGTGAATTAGCCGTGAGTCTTAGAGCCATTTACCCCAGTTAGGCGGGGGTTGGAGAATATTCCAGGCAGCATAAGGCTGGTGATCACCCTAGATAATGTCTACATGCACACAGTATAGGCAATGTAACCATTCCAGGGACCCTGAGAAATCCCATGCAGCATGTGGAAAATTCAAACCCTCGACCCTGGACGCATGAGGCAGCAGTGCTAATCACACATCGAAATATATTTATAATAATTATGGGTTGGTGAATATCATTGTCTTATCCTATTATTTTCTATAATCTTCTTTATAATAACTCCACTACCTCTGACCATAATCACGATTAATCGCTTTGAAATACGAATAATCTATAACATAATTTAAAATTCAAACTTGTGTTGCATTCCCACCAGTACCGAATTTCTTACCTTACTTACAGTTCTTACTTGACTGTAAAAACCTCTTTTAATTTGCTAAAAGTAAGCCTGGGCTTAACAAGTTCATTGCATTGCGGTCTATGTCATTTCAGCCATTTGTGGGTGGGATTACATTACATTACCTCTCTCGCCTCTTTCGATTGGCTGAATTGGTGGAGACACCCGAGCTCCTGATTGGCTGGGGAGAGCTGTTGCAGTTGCTAGGATTCTGTTGCTAGGATCGCCGCCGTCTCCAGGTTCCGCAGGAAACATGTAATGAATTATGGATGGATGATTTTCTCAGAGAGGCCTAATCTGTAATGCAGATGAGCTCAGGCTCACTCTCCCCCAAACCTCTTCTTCTAGGTTCATTAAAAACTCGGGAGTTTTAAATTGGGAGCCGGCGTTTGCGTTGTCCCAGTTGCCACAACAGTGGCTCCAGAATACCGATGTCGATTTGTATGCAGAGGAAAGGTCAAAGGTCAATATTAGTTATTTGTTCCTGGAAAGCTGGGGGAGAGTGGGGGGCTTGACAATGATTACTCTGATCCCTGGGATTATTTATAGAGGCGTGACAAAAGGCTGGTAGGACAACTAGAGGCACCACGGGTGGAAAAAAAGCAGAATGTAGCCAAAGAGCTTGGAGGATTGAGGGTCTCCACAGTGAGGGTGTTTCACCCACAACTGTGAACAATCACATGGACCCATAGATACTCTGAGTCAATGTCGCAGAACACAGTTTGAGGATACTTGGCGTTATTGTAGAAATGCAAGGAATTGATTAATAATCAGATTCATTCTGCCCCTGGTGATGGTCGCAGTTCAATAAATAATAATTATCTTGATACAGGACATGTGCAAATTTAGAAGAATGTGAACTTGTAAACAGACATGAGTTTTGCACAGTTTGAAGCAACATTTAGGATGTATAGGCATAAAACAGCATAAGTGTCACAGTATTCAAAGACACTCTCACTTCTACACGCAGTCTAGGATGAATTGTAGGCTTCTGGATGATGATTTTTGGTCTTTTTGTTGTTTCAAACACTGTGGTGAAGCAGCCCTGCAGACGGCAGTGGAGCTGCTAACAGATTTGATTTTCATGTCAGTAGTTTGATACATTAGCATACAAAAGAAACTTGTCCAGGCAACTGCATAATACGTTTGTGGTTATATAACTCTTGCATGTTATATTTAAATGATGCAAGTGGTTATTCACCGATATTACGACTGCAAGTCTTACATCTAGTCAAATGTTTTAATGTGTATATATGCAGATAGGACAATGAGTGTGTGTGTGTGTGTGTGTGTGTGTGTGTAATATATATGTGTGTGTGTGTGTGTATATATATATATATATATATACATACACATATATACACACACACACACAAACTGGAAGATACTTACTTTGTCTATCTATATATTTATATCTAGGTTTGTATGCACATATATACACAGATATAGATATAAAGATAGATAATATAAGTAGCATTCAGTTTTGACACAGCTTGCCCCCCCCCCTTTCTAATTCTCCCTTTCAATTTAGATTTTCATTCTAATTTGCAATTACACAATTGTCAGCGATCTCCTTATCGATTGTAATTACGTAGAGGAGGCTTTCTTCATCAAGCACGGAGAAAGCAATTTTTGTATGCAAATAGTTAAAGTCTCCGGTGAATAGGGACGCACGGGCGTGTGGGTAAACTCCATCGCGGTGAGTGGCAGGTCGCAGTATTGGGGTCGCGCCGGGCACCCCCAGAGATGACACTGATGAAGATGACCGGCAAGATGGCGGGGGAGAGGTCCTCGCGCAGAGGGAGCGTCTGGGCCAGACTGTTAAAAGCCGTTTGGGAGCCTCGGTACGGGGCTGGGGGGGGATGTTCCCGCCATTAACCAGGACACACGGAACGCTAGTGGCCCATTTCATTGGCCTGTTTCCAGGAGGGGCCGTAGAAGATAGGATCTGAATCCACAACACCTACAGATGTTTTACATCGCTTCTAGCTAGCTTCAAAGAAGAACGGAGTTACGTAAATAATGAAAATTACGGGTTGCTAGACCCACTGCCCTCACTGAGAACAAAACTACAAAAAAGCGTCGAGATCCTATTTATACTCCAACCCGACAACATACATTAAACAGATCGGATGTCAGCCTGCTAGCTTCCCGGCTGCCCGTTTTACGTAGCTCATGGTTTCATCTTCTACTAACGACGACACACAGATGGTGTGCTGAGGCTGCTTTTTACTGGGGGGGGGGGGGGGTGCATAATCAGGGCTTATTGACTTTAGAAAGTAGGTCTCTTTATATCCAATTTCCAGTGGTGGACCCCGAATTATACTGGGACCCGCGAGTTGTTTTTAATGGTGTCTGCAGTCTGTATTTTCAGAGAGAGCTATTCTGTGTTGTCAGCGGGATAATTGGATTTCTCAAGAAGCGCGGTTCAGCCTGCACTGAATCCATATGAGTCACGGCACCGCGTATCACCGTTAATGCCGACCACGGAGCTGGCTATAGGACAGCAGCTCAGCGTCACGTTAATGGTGTACGCGCCGCGCTTAAAACGGCAGGCCTGTCGGACGCGGTTCCGTAGGAACCCGTTCCGGAGAACCCGTGGACTCAGAATCCACTCAGTAAATGTTACCTCACATACACATATTCATAAGTCTGGCTTTGTGGCTATCGAGGCTCTATAATCTGTATTCAATGATTCTTGTCAGTTAAATCTTACCCTCTAATGTGACTTACCCTGATCCACCGAAGAATTAAAAGAATAAAAGAAATCTATTTGACCGCCTAAATCTGCCATTTGGGGTTGATGGCTCAGCTGTCAAAGAGTGATTAATGCAAACAATCTTTTCAAAAACTGCTTGGGTTGAAATGAGATTTGGCGTAAAATCGGTTTGGGTCATAATGTCTTTTTAATGCCAAATTTGAAGAGCTACTGTGGTACCTTGATGAAGGGCCCAAGAAAAGAACAGCTTTTAGGACTGAGAACCTTTTGGTGGGGGATTCTGCCTCGAGAATGGATAGACAATAAGGATGGATTATCACAAACAGCTGGTCTTGATTACTTTTTTAATACACACTGTGTGTAGTGGCTATGGACTTTGCGTCTTCAACCTTGAAAGTTCACAACAACTTGTTTAGCAGGCTGTCATTTTCAGGTCCAGAAAGTCGGCATGCTTGCCTCTCCCCCCCCCCCCCCAGACTTTAAAATGTGTTAAATGATTTTTGACAGGGGCTTTTCTGGCACTCGAGCTTTAGTTTAATTTCACCTTCTGATTTCGAAAGGAGCAATCAAACCAAACAGATTTCTAAGGAATCACAGAATAGCGAGACCTCTACTCCGGACCCAGGCGTAAATAGGGGTGAATCATCTTAAACGAAGCCATGCAGCATTTTATCAGAAAAAAAGACATTTTTTACATTTATTTCTGTACCAAAATCAATTTTTGACTCGGGTTATAAATGCCTGGAGGATAGTGCCACGGAGTTCAAACTGTAATGCCGACTCAATGGCTGACACAGTGGTGTAAAATCCCACCAAAGCACCCCGTAAATCAGAATGCCCAGTGTAGTAAAAGGGTACTCCCTGCCATTTATGCCAAGAATCGTACCCACACAAGCCTTGCATTTCACACCTAAAAACAGCACCTGGCGCATAAACCATTGATGCCATTAAGCCAATTCTGAAACCGTCTGAGTATGACGGATTGACCTAACCGGCTCATAATTTTAGACAAGTAAGCTATGTTAATGCTCTGAGACCCGATAAGTGGCTTTGTTAATCCTGTCATTGTCCTGAGGCATTGGTCCACCGAGGAATAGCCCCTCCCTGCCAATTGAAAAGCACCTACTTGGGACCATTGGCCCAGCTTTACTAGTGATGTCACAATGGAACGGACCGCATTCTCATGAGTCCCATTGCATTGATGTCGAATATCGTGAAGGTGATGTCAAAATGGAGTACAGTCCATCGCCGTAGACACCGCAACGCTGTCAGCAGGCTGACGTGGGATAATGTGTAGGTGCTTCTTTACTCACAATGACAGCAGCGTGTTTGTGACACATCCACTTCGGCTTGGCAAAACAAGTCTGTCTTTCGCCACGAGTGTGGAAATTATTAACGCAAAACTGACAGCGACGCAATTTCAATATTCACAGTTTTCCACAGACAAAGCAACTTTATTCACAAGTATTTTTTTTCCCCTTTTGTTTACACAGATAGAACAAAAATATCTTTTTCTGTCATTTCGGCCGTTATGTACAAAGAACTGGACAATAATGGGAGTGCGCACGAGGGCGGCGGGCAGAGAAAATGGAGGGTCGAGCAATCAGCCACACGTACGGTTATCAAACGAGCATCACGGAGTGATGATGATGGAGAACGCAAGCCCCATGAATGTCACCTTCAGCTTTGGAAATGCAAAGGATTACATCAGGATAAATATTTCTACAGGCACCTTATCTCAACCCTTTGCTGTGAAAACGTTAGATAAACAAACAGCTTTAATGTGGCGATAGTATCCTTGGCTTGTGTGCGGCCCCGACCTCCCCTGACGTACCTGTTTATTGACTGGCTTATCTGCTGGCCCACGCGTGCCGTCTGACGGCTCGGGTATCTCTGGCACAATGGCGGTGTCCTCATCGCCATTCCCGGCTCGTTCCCGGGCTAATTCGCTCACATCTTACTCACTGCCTGCTGAGCCGCGTTCCCGCTCCTCAAACCTCTCTTTCGCTCACGCGGTGGAGGATGGATTCCTCTCCCAAACGGCATTTATTTCCCCCCCCCCGTATGGCTGCAGACGGACAGCGTTAAGACTGAGTGACTGTCGACGTGAGTCATGTTCTCCGGATTTCACAAGGATCCATGTGGATATACGATCCAACATCTGGCTTATAAATCTTACCATTGCTTTCAAAACCTGTTTTTTTTCTAAACGTGATAATTGATTTAAAGAAACCAAAACAAACGTAATTGGTGAAGGACTTGATAAAAAAATTAATGGAAACGGCTACTCAGTCACTACTGTTCAGGAAAGCGGGTCGAAACCACTGACCCAAAAATTATAGGGGCGCAAATTCAAGCCTCTGCAAAATGAGAACCTTACGCCATTGGACCAAATTCCAAAAATCACAATAAAACCCATTTTTTCCAGTGAATTGACCCAAATGAAGGTGATGCTTGAAAAATAAGCGTTTCATTAAGCTACAGGTCATTAATTTTGCACAACAGATCTCACTCCTTGGCATCTAAAGCTGTTCTGTTCTATGAACATTAGCACAGCTGGCTAAGTACGATGCCAGTGGCCTCCACACGGCACGTGCCTTTACCGTCTCCCAGAGCGATTCTTCAGCTACATAGTAAGACGGCGTCACGGAAACCGGCACAAGATCAGCGTCGCTCTGGCAACCGATGCCTCAGAAGTCCCTCGTCCGGCTCACCTGACGGTTAACAAGACGGGTGAAACCAGCAGCGTCACTGCGCATATTTAGCCGAAAAATCCCGCGGCAGAACACGGGCTGTGAGATACGGGCAATCACAGCACAGGGCGGGAAACACAAAACCGGCAGCAGCAACTGGACGTTAGCTAAAAAACCGAGATAGCGGCTAATATTTAATTAGCACAAAGATGGTCAAAGTACTAACAGCAGATTATGGTAGAGCAGGGCTTCATGTCCGATTGCGCATTAAGCGTATAACTGTACACGGGTCCAAATAAAATAGTTAGCCGTCAAATACGAAACGTTATATTGCTTATGTGTAATTTATTACTGAAAAATGTCTAGCCTTCACCAGCTTGAAACGAATGATGAAATGATGAAACATCGCACATCTTGGCACTTCTATACACCTCTAATGGTCCCTAATGTCACATGAGGAAGCACGCTCACGCACGGCTATTTTCGACACCTCAGCCGGCAGCCGAATATCTTAAAAAGCCGGGATAATAGGTACAGCTCAGGTAAATACATCTAAGGTCAGAACGGCCTGGGCTCCGTTAGCACCGGCAGCCTAAACGTGACGATTTCCTGACCCAAATTATGATGCACACTCACAATCTAAAACCGTTTTTAATCTGATAGTTACTGTACTCTATTTACAGAAATGGTGTTTTTTTTTTTAAGCTGTTTTCATTATCAACATTGAAGTTTCAGCTTGGGAAGAACTCCAGAGAAAGAAGGGAGGGAGAGAGAGAGAGAGAAAGAGGGAGAGAGATTTAGGGGAGAGAGACAGCTAAGAATAGGTTAGGGTTCTGGTGCAACATCCACAGAGAGAGACATGTAGGGCTGGGTGGTCCTTGGGGAGAGAGGAAGAGGAGGAGGAGGAAGGGCACAGGGCCAGAAGCCTCTCACTGAGGAAGAGCTTTGAGGATGGCGTTGACTTCTTCTGCTACAGCTGTCAGCGCAAACTCGAACTGTTCCTGCGGGGAGAGAACCAGACAGTGTTGTTTCACCCTTAATTCTCTGAGGCATCATGGGAAACCGCCCATTTCCAGAATCGACCGCATTCTGACCACGAGCTGTCCTGCTTAGGCACTGTGAGGCTGACAGCTCGGGTGGGGGGGGTCGGTGTAGAGTGAAGCCTCTTACTCACCTAACAGGAAGCTGGGCGGGGCCTTGAGTTTGACCATGCCCTTTCATTTTATGTTCTTCGTCTTAGCATACAGATGCCTTCTGTCAAATACTTTTAAAATCTAAGGTAAAATTACAGTTTTAGGCCTTCCAGCTAATGGAAGCAGATGAGCATCTTGGATTACTGAAGCCTGAGCTAACTCTTTGGATCACTGAAGCCTGAGCTAACTCTTTGGATCACTGAAGCCTGAGCTAACTCTTTGGATCACTGAAGCCTGAGCTAACTCTTTGTCACTTCAGGCCAGATGAGATCCATCACCGTCTGTTTAGCTAAGTAAATTAAAGTCTCCTTTAGTCCCTGCTACACGGGGCTTCAAATGTATTTTAGCTTTAATCCATTACAGACATAAGCTATGCAGGCTGAAGCACTTGGTTATGAAATAAAATCTAAGTTGATACTGAAACTGCGCTGCTACACAATAATCAGTTTATGTTATGATTTATAAGTGCTGTGCAGCGTTTTAGCCACTCAATTTAACCACCACTAGGGGGAGACAAACCGCACGTCGTTTGACTCCAGCCCGCTGCCAATGTGAACCCATAGTGTGGGACGTCAGTCAGGATTGAATTTTCTCAGAGATAAGGAGTCTTTGTGTCTCATAACTTTATCGGGCATTAGTATCATCTCACCATCCTCAGGCTGACGTTAAACCCTAAATGAGCTTGAGGGGTCCTTACTGGTGCAGAAGCCTGATTACATTTAAATCCATCCACAGCAGACACCTGCCCCTCAAGGGGGGGGGGGGCACACGGCCCTGCGAGAGGCCACCCCACAGCCCGAGGCCTAAGGGAGAAAGGTCACAGCTCTGCCTGGTGCCGCCTAACCCCCCCGCCTAACCCCCCCAGCAGGGCGGCGCTGACATACAGATTATAAATAGAGGCGCTGTTAGTGAGGGGGCTGTGCCCCGCTGGGGCTGCTGGGAGCTATTAAAATGTGCAATGGGTCTCTGTCTGAAACAAACTGGCCACACTCCCTGGCTGGATACATCACTCTCTGGGTACAAATTGCAAATCGCTGGGCCTCGCGCCTTAGGGAGCGGACCACGGCATTCAGCGCCGATGGTCTGCTCTGGGTAATAGATGCTCCCGGTTCCTCTTGTCCCAGTACCCCCCCCCCCCCCCCAGTCCTTGGCAGTCTGCTCCCTAGCGCCCCCTGTGGGTTCCATTGAAGCGGCGGTCTGTACCTTCGTCTGCACCATTCCTGGTCTCTGGTCCCGGAGGTGCTCCAGAGTTGCGGCGATGTCAATCTCCTTGGCACCTGCAAAGGACAGCAGGCCGGTCAGGGTTAGCGGGGTCATGGCAGCCCCGCGCTGCGCCTCTTCGCGCCGAAGGAGTACTTCTGGATAAGTGCCTCCTTCACAAGGGCCTCTGTTCAAGGCTCCACCTCAGAACTGAAATCCCGCCTGAAGCAAAAACAGGCGGCGATTGGTCTGTGTTGACATCACCCCTTCACAGCCCCAACTGGCCAATGGTGGCCGGCTTCAGAAAGAAAGTCGCTAACAAAGATTTCTTGGGATTTTTCAGGACCTCCTGCTTTGTTCCCAGGCCATGGAGCGCCCCCTTTCTTACACGGCCCTTGTTTCTCACTAAAAAAGTTGGATCTCCATTCCACACAAACATGGAAATTATTCTTTTTTTCACGAACGGCTCTTTCGTGTCATTTTCCCACTTGAAAGCGCGCTGTGAGGTGCATTGTGCTCCAGTCGATTCTTACCGGCAGCCGGCCCATTATGCAGTTATGTGAACATAATTCTGGGGGGGGGGGGGGGGGACAATGCAGCCGATGAATTCTGAAAAATGGGCTTTTTCAGCAGGGGGAGAAAAAAAAAAGCTTTTCCACCTTTAGTTTGGACAACTTAACAACCAAACTATTAGAAGGATTCTAATCAACTGAACTCTGGAAAAGAGGTATAATGGTTCATTTGAGATTGACTGGGACACACACACACACACACACACACACACAATCCCTCCAAGGAAATCCAACAGAAAGTCCTTTGGGAGTTTTCAAAGAAAGGAGGCTAGGGATATAGTTGAGCTCCTTCTGAAAACGGCCTCGCCCTCTGTGCTGGACTCCCCAGCCGAGGGTGGGGTGGGGGGGGGGGGTGCGATGGTACAAAAGGGGGGCTTTTTGGGGAGGGGAGTGAAAGCAGCATTCTTGGGCGGTTTACAATTCATCCCGGGAGAGAGAGGGGTAACGGCTTGGCCGTTTGGACCGCGGGGCCTTTTGATCAAGCTGAGGCGGGCTGGAGTGGCAACCTGGGCCCCTCCATTCTCAGGCCCGAACAAAAGGGACCCGGGCCTAACAGGCCAGGCCCAAATTCCTGTCGGAACCGCCCCCCCCCCCGGCCCATCGCCCAACAGCCTGAGAACGGCCACGGCAGCAGGGAAAGATGGCCGCCTCGCTCTTTGATCTGTCCTCAAGGCGAGGGACGCTGGAGTTTTTCCACTCGTCCGGCCCATAAGTGAACGAGGGTGGGAGGGGAGGGTTAAGGACAAATAAATGGGTAACCTTTCCCCATGGGGGGGGGGGAGGCTCTAGGCTTTCCTGCTTTTGGGGCAGTTTCACATGAATTATTCCATAATAAACAACACTAAGACCGTACAGTCCCATCAGACGAGCGGCACCCGATCTGTGAAGATGGCCGACCACAAAAAGTCCATTTTTATCAGATGTAAAGAAGGCAGGAGGAGTGCAGTAGAATAAGAAGATGCCAAATAAAATTGTGTCCAATTGGTGCTATAAAATGAGGCTTCTAGAAGGAATAATGTGACTGGGGTGTCTTGGAGCTTCATGGCGCCCCCTACTGACTAGTAACAGCAGGCAAATAGAGCAGATGCCAGCATAAACACCTGAAGAGCCAGCTGACAGAAGCCTCCTGAGATATCACAGCCTTCAGATAACACACTTATTCTGATCTAACACAGAACCGCTAATGTGTCTCTGCGACCCCCCCGCCCCGTATCTTCATATCCATTTAGCGTTCAGGAAAATCTTCACTCATCCCTTAATGCATCGCATGCCCCCCCCTTTCTCCCCGAGAGCCCAGGCCTGGGGGTTGCCATGGTGACATCTCCACGCAAGCGTTTCAGAGGAAGGGGAATGCCGGGCGGCTCGCACCTTTGGCCATCTTGTTCAGGACCATGTCGATGAGAATGTAGGTCCCGGTGCGGCCGGCGCCGTCACTGCAGCAAGAGGAGAGGACTGTTAGCATGATGAAGCACTGAGACACAGGCCACATCCATTACAGGTAATGCCCCACGGGCCACACCCCCACAGGCCACATCCATTACAGGTAATGCCCCACAGGCCACACCCCCACAGGCCACATCCCTTACAGGTAATGCCCCACAGGCCACACCCCCACAGGCCACATCCCTTACAGGCAATGCTTCATAGACCACACCCCCACAGGCCACATCCCTTACAGGNCCACACCCCCACAGGCCACATCCCTTACAGGCAATGCTTCATAGACCACACCCCCACAGGCCACATCCCTTACAGGTAATGTCCCACAGGCCACATGCCTTACAGGCAATGCCCCATAGGCCACATCCCTTACAGGCAATGCTTCATAGGCCGCACCCCCACAGGCCACATCCCTTACAGGCAATGCTTCATAGGCCACACCCCCACAGGCCACATCCCTTACAGGCAATGCTTCATAGGCCACAACCCCACAGGCCACATCCCTTACAGGCAATGCCCCATAGGCCACATCCCTTACAGGCAATGCCTCACAGGCCACAACCCCACAGGCCACATCCTTTACAGGCAATGCCTCACAGGGCACACCCCACAGGGCACACCCCCCGCCCCTCAGAGGCCATGCCCCCAAAGCCACCTGCAATTCAAGTGTTATTCTTTGTTATTCTGTAAAAACACGCTGTGTTGCTAAAATCACTGTTATCCTGGGAAGTAAACGGATGCTTTTATGGAATGCTTTTTACACCATCACACGGCTTACCTTGCTGACAGGCTGTGGTGGGCGATCAGCCATAAACGAGGGCGAAGCCACCATGGACATTAAACAACTATACTGCCTAAACCCGTCAATATTTAGTCTGTCACTAATGTCACGTTAAAATGACTGGGTTTCATCAAAATTTGCAGCTTGATAGAAAGAAGTATTTATGTGACCATTCATCAAAATCATACGATTTAAAATGAAGGGATAATCCCATTCCCCCCC